CAACTATGGGTGTCTATCACCTTTCTTAGTTGCCAAGTATCCTCAACATCCAACTTAGCCTAATAACCTTCCCATTCACATCCATCCTTACACCTAACCCTAACCCTTATCTTGTCATTTTTGATGTACTTTAAATTTCTGCCAGATTGGACTGCATAAGAGGTAACTGCTTCCTTGATATCTTCTTTTGTACTAAAATATGTACCCACTTCCCATTTGTAATTGGACATATCCTTTAGAAGCTTGAAAATGGGATACTTCTTTCTCTTGGTAGTATTGCTATCTTCACTATCACAATCACTTACAAGATCCTCACTTTCATTATCACTTCCTTTATCACTTCCTTTATCACTTCCTTTACTATCTTCTTTATTTGGTTCAGTTTCACAGAGATCAGTTACTTCTGCCATACCTTCTTCCTCTTCCAAGTCAGTATCACAGTCATCAGTTTCATCATCAAATACAACCTCCTTTGCACTATCATACGAAAAGCTACTATCATCAGAGCTATCATCATCAGAACTATCATCATCGTTCTGTCCAACAGCATTTTCACTTGCCTCCTTCTGTCCAACATCATCTTCACTTGCCTCATTCTGTATAACAACATCTTCACTTGCCTCCTTCTGTCCAACAACATCTTCAATTGCCTCCTTCTGTATAACAACATCTTCACTTGCCTCCTTCTGTCCAACAACATCCTCACTTACCTCATTTTGTCTAGCTGCATCATCTACCATTACATTCAGGGGTATCTCATTTAAAATAACTTCACTCTCATCAACATACTCAGGCTGTGACAATGGGTGTTGAATAAAGACTTCAACACGTAAATGAACCCTATATAGATCAGCAATCTCTAAGGCCCCTTTGTCATCAAACAACAGATTCATTCCAGCAGTTGGATCCTTATAGTATATCTTCTCTATGGTTGGGTAACCTAGTTCCTTAATAGCACCCAATAACTCAAAATAACCCCACATATCAGCATCTACTCTTAAATCAGCAATCTCACCTCCTTCATACACACTCAAGTCCTCACTAACAAATTGACCACTGTGGTGTATCGTAATATTAAGAATTTCCTCCATTACACACAATGCCCTAAATAGAGAGATGAATTTCAGAGAAGGGAGACGAATTTCATGGAAACCCTAACTATGAAAATAGAATTCTTGCAGAAAGCAGAAACTTACCTCTGATGAGAAGTCTGGTTTCACCTTCAAGGAAACATGCAATGGATGAGTGGTAATGCCACATAAGAGTGTCAAACTGACTTATGCAATTTTTCTAAACCCACGTGTAATGCCACATAAGCGCTGCCATTAAACATGACTAACGGAGTGGATGGAAAGGACAAACGTGGTCCTTTTGAAAGAATTATAGGACCAGTTTGACACTTTTTTTAGATAAAGGACCAAAATGGACCTTGGGGTAAAGTTAAAGGACTAAAAAGGGTATTTTGCCTTAATTTTAATAGTATGAGTCAGCTTGAATCAAACATAAGAGAACTCCTTATTTAGGATAGTATATGTGCCGGCCTGAAATGGCCATGAGTCGGTCTGAAACAAACTGAGGCTATCTGCTTATTTAGAGTAGTACATGTACTGGCCTGTAATGGTTATGAGTCAGCATGTATATGTATTTTTAATGCAAAAAGTGGTTTTTCAAGACTGGACCAGTTTTTACTATGTTTTAAATGATTCCTAAAACCTCTAAATGCGTAGGGTGTCACCCAAACTCATAGATACCTCTCAATATACATAAATATTTTATTCTTGTAGTTTTGACATCATGCAAAACACATCTTGAGGAAAGTTACACTCACATACTCCCCCTTTTTGATGATGGTAAAATTGTGACAACAATGGCATTTCATGTGTATTCGACGCTCTCCCTGATTATGTGTTTCCCAACTTCATATAGCATATTCTTCTCCGCTTTTGACAACATCAAAAAGAGAACAAGCATATAATTATAATTATCGTAGTATTCCGTAACAACCAATATATCATACGAGGAGATTTTTGCATAGAAGAGCAACAATTATATATCCCCATATATATGTAATGATGCGAAATAGATAAATAACTAGCACCCAACATTACAACAAATGTAAGGTAAATGCATAAAGATTAAACAAGCAGTGAAAGAGCAAACCTGTCAAGTTGATTTTATAGCATCATGATTACGTAACACAACATAATGAAACTCCTGATGTCGCACATGCATGTGCATAGCATAGCGTCAAGAACATGTCGCTACTAAAACCCAAAATAAAGATGTTTTTCATACCATGTAGCCAACAACAACGAGAAACACATATCGCAAATAACACACATACGATTAACTCAAGCATAGTATGCAATAAATAAGTAAAGAAGAATAAAAAAAAGCACATGCTTTCATAACAAGAACAAACTTATACAAATGTGAAAGAATTAATACATGAAGTCATTATAAGCATATAGATTGAGAACACGTAATGGTTATCAATCAAAAAATTTTGGAAATGAACATTCATGGTTGTTAATACCATGATTTTGAGATTGGCTAAATTTTGCCAAAAACATGGTTTGACGTAACAGGTTTAGTTGTTATATGATTTTCAATCAGATGTCGAAGACAATGTCATGATATCTTGGTCTGGTGCAGCAGGTGTTGCGGGTTGGTTTATTCTTGACAGATCGTTAATTGATTTTGTGAGATTTAAGTTGCTTTTATCTCACTGATTTATCGCAGGTCAAGAATTATAAATTTGGAACAAATAATATCTCCAGCTATACACAAGTTGCTATAATTGATTGATTGAGACTAATTAGGAAACCTTGTGTTTTGTTCCAAGATTCAAGGAGAATTTTCTACACAGATTTATGCAGCCCTCAACATGGACAACAAGGAACATTTGGGCGCAATTACAAGGCCCGATAATTGTTGAGGAGTATTTAAAGAAGCTACCTCGACCTAATATAATCAAGAACTTTGTAAAAAATAAGAGGAAGTCAAATTTTCTTAGTTTTGAGTTTGAGGGTTCTTCAAGGGAGTTTCAGATTTATGTACGTCCTCAAGTATCTTTCAGTCAACTATGTGATCAAGGTCTCAGGGTTCACTTCATATAATCTGAATGTGTGGTCACTAACAAAGAGAATAAAGTTATGATGAAAGGAGATAGATCTAAGGATAATTTTTACTTATGGACACCTCAAGGAGTTAGTTGCACATTCACTTGTATGTTGTCCAAAGAAAATGAGGTCAATATGTGGCACCAAAAACTAGGTCATCTGCATCTAAGAGGTATGAAGAAGATTGTGTCCAGGGAAGCAATCAGAGGGATTTCCAATCTCAAAATTGAAGAAGGAAGAGTCTGTGGGAATTGTCAAATTGGGAATCAAACAAAGATGTCACACGCAAAGCTTCAACATTTAACCACTTCAAAACCATTGAAATCCCTTCATATGGATTTGATGGATCCTATGCAGGTTGAAAGTCTTGAAGGAAAAAAGTATACTTATGTTGTTGTTCATGATTTTTCTAGATTCACCTGAATAAATTTTATCTCTGAAAAATCAGAAGTTTTTGACATCTTCAAGGATCTGTGTCAAAAACTCCAAAGAGAAAAGGGAAGCAACATTGTTAGGATCCGAAGTGATCATGGTATGGAATCAAGCTGCAAGGTCCAAGAATTACTGAAGAGTATTTAAAGAAACTACCTCAATTTAATATAATCAAAAACCTTATAAAAAATAAAGAGAAGTCGAATTTTCTTAATTTTAGATTTGAGGGTTCTTCGAGAGAGTTTCAATATATAAAAGAAAATAGAAAAAAATCATTTTAAATTACAATTAATATAGCATAACTTTAAGAGTCTGTACTTCCCTAATGCCAAGATAATCATTTTTCTATCAAATTCTACAATGGTAAACTCTATTATCTTCTCTTATTTATTCTAAACATAACCCACATAATTATCTCTCCATCTCACAATAATATACTCTCTTCATCTCACAATAATTGTCTTCTTTCTTATTTTTATTTATCTCAAATTATTTGTCCATTTAGAATATCAATGTAATATTTATTATTTTTTTCCATTAACTTATTTTTATTTATTATTTTAATTTGTATAACTACTTCATTATCTATTATTAATAAGGTTATTTTAGTAAATAAAATTCATTTTATCATTGAAATCAACACAATTAATCATTATCTTAAAAAGTGTGAAAAATCTCAAATACATCTATTGTGAGACAGAGAGAGCAACAATTATCACTAAACTACTCTTAATAATATACTAACAACTAAAAAATTGAATAGTCAACTTTCCTTTTTTTTTCTTTACGAGAGTCTTCCGTGGAGTTTTTTGTTTTGTTTTATGCATTCTGATCTCAAGGGAATAAAATCCTAGTAATTTAGAGCTCGTGCCGAGATGTCATAACATTGATCAAACATTATTTTTATCAAAAATCGAACTCGATATTTTCCAAATCTTCGTTGTTTAGCAGGAACTCGTTTACCACTCGAGTTCATGATTACTTAGTTATTATTTCATTGCAACTCACCCTTTTCCTCCACAGAGCATAATTGATATAATCCTTTTAATTATTGAATAATGTAATAATAAATAATGATGTATCAAATAAATAGTGAATATCAATGAAAACTTATTTACAAGTTGCAAAGTAACCGGTCATCTGCAAGTAATATCAAATGAAAACACTCAATTTCTGTAAAAAAAAATTAAAAAAAAATTGAATAGCACCCAATTTCTGTAATTGCTACTGCACACTATATCACCCCCACATTAGGGGTGGACCGAACTATACAATTTTTTATGATATATCTAGCATCTTTTTTCCCCTTGTAGAAAACATTTAAAACATCATATGGCGCATCAAATTACGAAAATGAGCTTGAGAAGGGAGATGGGAGCCAGCAACGCACAACAGATCAGAATACAACTTTCCAACCCAACGGGATGCAGCCATAAATACCTAAAGTTATATTCCTCGTGGCTCAGAACCGAGAATTCCAAATTCATGCTGCATAAAATCTTCACTGGGTCTGTAATACTTGTCTGGAGAGTGCAACGCCAGGTTAGATACTTGGCTAGTATAAAGGCAGGCAAATCTCTCAACCTGCATCATGCATATCAGGCAAGTTCATTAAAAGAACTATCATTTGGCGAGGTTTTCTTCTTGAAAATGCTAAAATGCATAGGTTTTCCTATGTTTGAAACCTTTTTTTGAGGCGCTAAATAACACATTGTAATTTTGGTATGCTATTCGCATAAACACTAGTAAATCTCCCTAGTAGCCGCCCTAATAATAATTAGAAAGATATAACTATAAATACATCTTGGTGTTGTATACTGGTTTGAAAATGGGGCATCTACTCCTAACATACCTAAGGAGTCTCATTTTACCTGATGAGCAAAGCGAGAATTCTGATAACCAGTTTTCATAAGCTGTCCCCATGGTTCGTGAAACTGCAAAATTTTTATTAAAATTCAGCATCAGTCATACAATGCCTCATTGGATATATTGTAATTGTAGAAGACTAGTAAAAAGAGAACTAAAGAAAATGAAAAAGGCTGCAGTTGAACTTTCTACCCCTAGATGTAATTTTCTTTGAGCTTCTTGATGGATTAATCGCATTCTCTCTCTTTCAAGCTGCCAAAAAAAGGCACTTATCAAATGTATGAAATTGGACTTGCTTTCTGTGTATCACATGGGAACGGACATAAAGGCTATGAAGCACGGACACCTCTAAAAGTAGGTGTGTCGCAGTGTCCGACACTTGTATGACACTGTCGGAAAAGTCAAACAAGTGTCGGAAAAGTCAGACAAGTATCTCTAAAAAATTAGTATTTTTTCTTTGCTTCGACACATTTTGAATCGGTGTTCGATATTCATATGACACTCATACAACACGTGTCCGATAATTCAGACAAATTTTCTTTTAAAAAATTGTGTTTTTCTTTTCCTCAACACACTTTATACATTTTTTATAAAAATCTCACAGCACGATTAAAAGGTATAAACATGTATTGAAGCAATGTTATCAATGAAGAATTAAAGACATTTATTTTGATTAGAATATTTTTAACTCTTTTGATATTAGATAAAAAATGAAACTCAAATACTATATCATATATAGCGGTGTCGTGTCCTAGATTTTTGATATATCGGTGTCAGAGTGTCTGTGTCCGTGTCATGTCACAGTATCCGTGTCGGAGTCTGTGCTTTATAGCATAAAGGACAAACCTCCAATTTATCAAGTGCTGAAGATAACTTTTGCTTGGTAACAGCATCTGGGTTCTTGAATCTGAAGAGCGGTGAAGTACTTTATAATAATGCAAGCAGATAATAAGGAATTACTTTTATGAGAGGTCCAGAGTTATACTAACTTGAGAGACCACTTCAAATGATGTACTTCATCCTCAATGCGATCACGCTCACTTCTCAAGAACTGAAGCTCCTGCATGAGAATATTCAAGTAAAATTCTCCCTAAATGTGAATTAGCACGTCAGGTCTTTAACGAGGAGAATAAGAATGTAAAAGTACACCTTATCAACAAAATATTAGAAGCCCGCATAAACTCTTTTAATGTGAATTAAATCCTTCATTGTTTTCTATTTTTATTTATTATATAGCCAAGCCTTGACATAAAAAATAATTCTAATCACCTTTCGGGTGTCCCTTGACTCCCAGAGGAGTTTAACTTCCTTCTCCAGCTCTGGGATTACAAGCATTGTTCTCCATCCTGCGCGTTGACCACATTGCACCACAATCAATTTTAAGCTACTTACAGCAGAATCCACACATATACTAAATATTGACAGAGTTAATATTTGAGTTTGTACTCATCAAAGATGCCATAAGTTCATCAAATTTACTGGTAGATAGACTTAGAGTGCAAAATACATTGAGTTGAATAGTTTTTAAGGATTAATATGATATACCAAGAACCTTTTTGCTACGTAGTATGTCTCCATAAATGTGATCCCCAACATACAGAACCTACACATAAAGCATTCAGAATTTTACAGGAAGCTCCATTATAACAACAATCCTCAAGTACTCTTAATCAACAACTACCTGTGAACTTGATTCAATGGAAAGAAGTTTATGCAGATGAGCGACATTGCCTCCCTACAACAGATGTTCACAATCACTAGGTAAATACAGAGATTTTGTCAAAAATAAAAAGGTAAATATTGATATGCTGAGCTATCAAATACTTATGGATACAAACTGGGTATTAAGTTAACATTAACTTCATATAGATTTGTGTAATCCTAAACAAAATTAATGTTTAGTTTACGAACTATGATGATTGTACCTGGAAAGCTTGGCAAGCGTGATTCTTTGCTTCTGTGAATATCCTCGCCGAGATGTTCCCCACCTTTCCATATTTAAAAAATAATAATACCAGAAATGTTTACAGAAGGTATAAAGGAATGAATGAAATGATGTGCAACTGTGCTAACCTGAGGCATAGGAGAGCCATTATCTGTATTGAGAAGCATTCCAGTCTCAGGCACAACTTCAAATAGGTTGGCACGATTTTCCTCGTGAAAAAATCCTGGCTTTGCACTGTAGGATAGTGGACTTGAATCGGTTAGCAACCAAATCCACAATAACACCATTATCGCATGTTATCAGAAACCCAAAAGTTAACGTTCAAGATAAAAATACAGTGCTTGGATATTCTCTTTGGCCTTTAACATAAGACTCCTTCAACTATCTCATGGATTTTAAGAAAAGTGGTTGATTTGGTTAAATTTGTTAATAGAAATAAATTTGTATATAATGTGTACTAATTTGTCCAAAATTTTCCTATTAATTTACCCTTATAATTTCACTATCTTACTCTTTCTACCGGTCCTCACAAAAGAGAAAAGTTTTTCTTTTCCATGTGTAAGATAAATAGAGGTATTTTTGTAAAGAAATCATTAATGCAATGCACAATTGGAAATGTATCTTATAAAAACGAACAAAAATAATCGATAAAAAAGATTCTTATATTCAGGGGTGGATATAGTATAAATTAACATGTTAACTAAATGAGTGTCATGTCGAGTGTCATGTCAAGTGTCATCCTATGGAGGAAGACATGTATTGTGGTCTGACAGAAAAAATTCAAATGCAACTCACTTAACATAAGGACTAGAGTAAACAGTTGGAAAGCCCGATGATTTTTTAGTAACACATGATTTGCGCATCATATGAAACCCAAGGGCCAGAATTTTATAGTATAGGGTAAAATTCACATTAGGAAGAATAATGAAGCCAAGGAAAACAAATATAATTGGGTAAATCTGCCAGGAGAAGAGCATGACCTGCCAGTGATAACCACATCAAAGTATTGAAGCCATTCAAAATTGTTACTGCCATCTACCTGTCTGGATCCACAGAGGAAATTCATGACAGTATTTGTATAGTCCCATAAACTGCAAATGGAAGAGGAAAGAATGAAAAATCCCAGTTAAAATGCTCGTAAACAAGGATGCCAACTAGTGTTTTTTAAGATAACCCATTACAATATTTTTCTTAAATCAATCCCCTACAAATTTAAATACTTTTTAGTTCGATGCATAGAAACTCATTTTACTCTACTAATTTTGAACATTTAATTCGATGCATAGAAACCCATGTGACAATTCCTGCTAACCACTACATATCATTTTTTAATTAAAAGTGTTAAAATGTCTTTTAAACATACACATTTGATTGTCCCGTTAATCATTAATAACACGAAGATATTTTGCCTGGTTACCAAAACTATTTTCATTCCTATGCTTATATAGATAATTCATAACTACCTATTTGTCACTAAAAATGTTGCACGTCCAGATTCTCTGAGCATTTCAAGCATGGGGACTATCATGGTGTCTTCATTGATATACCTGATAGATAAAATTTAAACAGAAAGCTGAGCAATTCAGAATAGTTCCATTAAGAATTCATAGATGATATGAAATTTAAGAGCATAACTTTCACAATGAAAAAGTTAAGACACTGGGTTCTGACGCTCATTGCTTGCATAAAATTATGTGTTCACTTCTCACTTCGATAGGGTGATGATGTTATATTCATACCTTCCAGGATCTTTAGCAACCATTTGCTTCAACGTCCCATCACGGTGGCACAAATCAACAGCAGCTCGAACATCTTTATACATGCGCGCATAACTGGAATAACAATTTGTAAGGAATAAATACATAAACAACAATCAAAGCCTTTCCCACAAGGTGTGGTCGAGGTCAACTACATGGGGTAAATGATGCCACAATAAAGGTTTCTGTGTACCTCAATTCTCAAGTACTCATATGTAAATGAAGCTATTTACCACCTGTTTTATCGTTTCTATGCAAGTATAAAAATGCCCATTCCTTTTTCTTTTACACCCAACAACGGTTTTTCCAATTTTTTGAAATAAAAAAATAATGGCCTAATGTTAACTATAGCACTATCCATTAATTTCACCTGTATCCTATTCATGTGGCAGCAATTTACAAACATGATTAGCATTTAGCTCCAAGCTACATTAACCTTCTAAAGCACTATTCGTAAGCAGCTGAAACCAACATTTATGACAGTGTTCTAGGTTCATACCCACCCATAAAGAATCCAAATATACCGAGAAGATAATATTTTAATCTACACTCTATAAAACTAAATTTCTTCAAAAATTAATGAAGAAATTATCCCATTAAAAGGATAAAAACAATAATTGCCTAAGTCCTAGAACCATTTAGTCGATATTGAAAATAAAAGCACTCGAAATTCTCAAAATCCATGCAAGCAAGAAAAGGACTTACTCAACACCCTCTCGAATCTTTCCAGGATTACAATCCTTAAAATCAACCAGTTGAGCAAACAAGTAGGCTTCCGCGAGAGAGAAAAGTGTATCGATTAGAGCATAGTCGGGCTCGTCAAATGAATTGCGTACTAAAGTATTCCCGTAGGTCCCAACTTTATCTTCTTTTGACAATTCTCTAAATCCATGATAAGCTACTTTTACATATTTGTGGCGATCCATCTAAATACATACAGCCAGCAAGCAATTCAACAGTCAAACAGAGAAAGTGAAACAAAAAGTTTTCCATGCAATCTGCGGTGTTTTTCCCGTGGTGAATGTGATGGAAAGAAAAACATTATCCAGCCTTAACCTTCAATATATTTCCTCTTTTTTTGTCAAGAACCAAGCCCCTGACCATGTACTTCCAATTAAAAGACCAATTTAGTAACTGCAGAAGAGATAAAGGTTTTTTAGCCAAAATATAACAGAAAGTAAGATGCTTGCAAAGAATATGCAAATAAATAAAATCCTTTAACATAGTGAATCAAGAGGGAGTTATTAAATCTATAACTAAAAATTCATATTGCATCACACTAACACCTCCCTCATAATTACTGCAAGAAAAAGGAGAAAATGGTAAAAAGTGTTGTAAGACTGATAGAACAGACCTCGCTAGGATACCCCAAATCGTAAACCAGCTTTTTAATTGTGCCTTGATAAGCAAGAGATTCAAAAGTTTCAGGCTTGTACTGTGCCAAAGTATAATCCATGTCAAATCCCACAGCAACAATGTTCTTCATATTCAGTGACCGGTTACAAAATATCTGTTTGCCTATATCAGTTCTAGATCCATGTTCAGGAGAAGATGACCATACACATGGTTGTTTTTCCCTATCCCTGCCAATTGATTTTGAGTCATGCATACCAACGTCGTGGTTCTCATCCATTGAATATTGAGAGTGCAACTTGCTAGCACCTGATAGGCTTATGCAATGGTAAGAATTAGGAATAATCACTTCAAAGAATGTAATGATCACAACATGTAAGCCTATTTTTTCAAAATTGATCTGAGTTCCACTAATTTTGAAATGTCCTCCCGAAAATAGTTAGGATAAAACAACATGAGCCCACAATCTAGATAAATAAATGAATAGACCTCCTGGTTTTTTAACACTGGCCATACTAAACAGAGAGTAATCAATCAAACAATTAGTATTCAGACCAAAAAGGCAACAATTAGAACTTTCATAGTAATAAAAGAGTTACATGTGAATCCCACAAACAACATTCATTCAGATAACTGAGACCAGATCAATCTTGCTGACCAGTAAAGTGGGCAGAGATTTGATTATCGACACAGGTTTGACGATGCAACCAGCCTTAAAACCTTAATAACTCTCTGACTCACCGCCATACAATTCATAACAAATATATCATTTAGGAGAAAATGAGTAGGAAAAAAAACTACAGAAGAATATAGCTCACAATGCACACTGGACTATGTGCCAACACTATAAATTCCCCAAGATAGGCTTTCATGAATCACCTAAATATTCAGTTTCTTCGTTAAGAAGAGTAATCCTCTAAGGTCCTATTATTTTAAAATTTCCCTACCAATCCACATCATTAATTACACACTTATGAACCAGTTTGGATAAACTTCTCCCATAGAATCTTATTCTACGAGTTTTTTAAACTGCTACATGTTGAAATCTAAGTACGTCAATGAACTCAAAAGGACTTTTCAGTTAATGAAAAATAGAGAAGCTCTTACAAATGTCATGTTTGGATAATCAGCTTAATCAAGTCTTTATAGCATAAGCATTTATCATATACCTGTTTATGTATATAACTAAAAGCTATTTCCAAAGCAAAAGATAAAATAAGTGAAACTTATTTCATAAGCTACTTTCAAAGCAAAAGATAAAATAAGTGAAACTTATTTCATAAGCTATATTCGAAAGCATAACTATGATGCACGGAAACCAGAAATACGACACCCACACTAACATGGCGACACCGGTAATAATTTTAAAAAATAAACGACACTGATAAATAATTTGAATAAATAAATAAATAAAACATAATCACAAATGTCAGATACTGATACAATAAACATAATCACAAGTGTCAGCATAGTGTTAGTGTCGGTCTCTAACACGGATTAAGACATAGACACACTTCTTTTTTTTCAGAGTTGCCGGCACTAAAGAGTATGCAAATAAGTCAGAAACACTCTCAAATAATTCAATTCAAACTAATTCCAAGTTACTCTATAACTACCTCTACAACAAATGAAGACTTCACAAATAAAATGCTTAACCGCTATCAGAAAACTTAGAGAACAAGAAATCACGTTTCAAGCGAAATCAGCAACAACAACGGTAAGAAACAAAACGAACCTGGTGATGCGATGTTGACGAAATTCCGAGAAGGTTTACCGCGAATTCGGGAAGATAAAAGAGGCGCTACGAGTTGAGGAAGAGAAAATGAGAATAGCCTCTTAGGAATTCGCATCGTGAAGTGATTAACTACTGATTAAATAGCGTTAGACATGGCGGCGGTGAAGAATCAGATTCTGCACTGCGAAATTAGCGTTTGAAAATCAAAAGCGAAAATGCAACTTCACCATTAAGTGATTTTGCCTAATTGGAATTGAAACGTGTAGAAAAAAAAAGGATTATTCGTATACTGGAATTGGATTTTGGATAAAATAATCAATTCATGTTGGGGAAGGAATTAATTCCCTCTTTATTTTTTTATTTTTATTTTATAGTATAGTGTGTAAGTAAGCACTTATTTGTTCCTGTATTTTCACCTAATATTCTCAATTATTCATTTTGCTTTAACAAGTGGTGGTGGTAATATAAGGCTCAGCGGAAAGGAAAGAAAGAAATTGAGATGCGAGAGGTTGTTGAAAGAAATTGAGATGAGGAAGGTGTGACACGTGTACAGGTGATGATTGATGTCTCGGTTATGCATATTGTGCTGATTTGGGAGTGGCTGGATAAGTAGTGTCTGCCGGGCCACAAATTTTTGGGTTTCTAAGAGTCAATACGCTCATCAGAATTGGAATCATATGATGGATGGATGCCAACCCTTTTTTTCTAGTCCTCTTATTTTTCTAAAGCAGTTTATCATCACAGCTCACAAGCACTCTTTCTATTCCTATGTGTCAGCTGCTTTTCAAGGTGTTGGCTGTTTTTTATGTAGACTAAACTAGTTGCGACAAAATGGGTTCGTCCATCGGACATGTTTATTTTGCTCGCACTTTTTTATAAGACGGTTGTTTCCAGTGATTTCTGGTAAACAACCGCTAGTCTTCCAAACTATTGAATAATCTTTCTGACTGTTATTCAATTCCTCTAGTAACTCACAGGATCGACTAGATTGATCCTAGGATTCCTTGGACATTAAGGTTATTCTCATGATCGAACAGATATTCATGGTTGATATTTGAGCGTTGTATATGCGTTTGGCTTATTTCGATTTCTCTCTCTAAAGGTCTAAAGATGTAATCAAAATGTGCGTGTACGAAACTAAGTTGCATGAATAAATGTTAATTGTAAAGACATGTAAAATTGCATAAAAGGCAAATAAATGGTTTCGAATTATAAAAACAGTTTAATGTAAAGGATTTCTGGAACGTAAAAGGTTTGAAATATGAAGAAAGCGTTTAATGCAATAAATCTGTAAATGACTTTAAGTAAAAATATGCGTTCGAAGGATAAGACTTGGAGGTAAAGGTATGGAAAATATGACAGTTTTCTGAAATGTAAAGTGCTTGAAATGTGAATAAAGCATTAAAATGTAAAACTTTAAAGAAGAGATTTCGAAGTGAAAAGACTGTAAATGAGAAAACTTGTAAATGTTATTTGACAAAAAGATAAAGAGAAGTGCTGGAAATGGTAAAAGGTTTTCATTAAATCAGAAATACATGGTGCTATCATACGTACATTTCTCTTGCATTCGTTTCCCTTGCCATGTAGTAGTTTGAATGTTACTGAGTATTTAGTACAATAGATATGACACACGAAATCCTAATACTAAGACTTATATTTATACTAATTCGACCATAACGGTCTTGCTATAGGATTATGCCACGTTCAGAGCATGCAGAATAATGCTTCTTTCTTCTTTCCATGTGTCTCCAAATGCTCCAGCACATAAATTTCAAACTTCGAATGTCCCGCTTCCATTTGAATTTCAAATGCTTTGGTACTTCTCCGTTTCGAACGTACTTCCCAGACACAGCCTTGTTGTTATTTCGAGACTTCTTTTAGATGTGCTCCCATAATTGCCACTCGAAGCTCCAGCTTTGATATGCTTATTCGAAACACTGCTTCGGCTACTTCGAAACATGACGTTTTACTTCATTTCGATCGAAACGTTTAATTCATTTGGCTTCTAATAATATTATCAAAATCTTCAGCCAACAAATTGCCCCTTTAAAATATGTATTTCGATTCCTCTGAGAAATACCTATTTTAAACATCTACACAAGATTTTGATGTGACTTTCGAATCATCGTAATATTTAATGCATTTGACTCCAGTCACGTCAATCATAGCACCTTTTGGATTCCTTAACCGCCTGGAGCCACTTCACAGTATGGTGCAGTTACAAATAATGATTATCTTTAAATCACGCCTATTACCCATGTTAACTTTACGCCACCTCTTCATCACACCAACCCATGATTTCCACGTATCACACCCTTATTCAGTGGATGCTTAAACTTCCCCATTATAAAACATCACCACCTTAATCTTTTTCTTTTCTTTTCACCCTCTGAATCTTTTACCCTCCTTCTCTCGTCAAAAACCCAAGCTTTCAACATCCTTCAAAAATGTCTTCTTCTACTTCATCCCAACTCAAGAAAGTCTCCAAGAAGAAAGGAAAAACTGCAGGAACTACCATGGAAAGTAAGATCATCACTCACCAAGGTCAATCCGTTCTTGCCCCTCAGATGATTTCAAAGGAAAAAGAAATGTTGTATGCGTCACAGGTACTTATTCCTACCAACGTTGCTGGTAAGAGGTTAGCTTTAAATGGCCCTCTTACGGTTTTTGAAATATTGAAAGACACCAGGATGATTTTCCCAGTTTGTTATAGTCTTAAACCCTTGTTTAACAAAATGGACGCCCCTAAGGCAGTAGAATCTTCTAGTTCAAATACCATAGAAAACCCAATTGTTCCTCCTAAGGACCCATTTGTATTGGATTATGTAAAAAGTAATTTTAAGCCATTTCGATCTTGCCCCACCTCTGATATTGCTTATCAAAATTGGTTCAAGAAAGTAGAAGCTAAGAAATCCCAGCAATGGGAAGAATTAGGTATTTATAACCTGATTAAGCTATCGAAGCCTGGTTTCACCTACAGCCACCCTCTGCTATTCGCGTCCCTCTATTTCTGGGACAGTACCTATAACACTTTCCATCTCCCAGGTGGAATGATCACCCCAACCTTCTTCGACATAGCGGTCATTACTGGGCTATCGCCTGTGGGAGAAACTTATATACCCGACAACAAAGAACATTCAAGCATAATTGACTTCGAAGTCAAGCTAGCCAGTTTTTTCAAGTTTATCAGTCATTACCATGCTGAGGGGGACAATGTGTCTGACGTAGAGCACATTGCTTTCTTAACCCTGTGGCTGTCAAGATACGTTTTCTGCAGTAGATCCCTACAGGTAGCTAGTAGGTTCATTCCTCTAGCTAGGGACTTGCATGAAAATCGAAAAGTGTGCCTAAGTGAACTGCTCTTAGTTGACCTTTATGAAAGCCTGAGGTCAGCTGTTTCGAGCCTCAAATCCCACACCTCCAAAAATATTCTATTGGCTGGCCCTTTTTGGTTACTTCAACTATGGCTAAATGCCATGTTCGAACCCTCCTTATCAACCGCCAACACCATTGATGAGCAAGATCCTGAGATAAATGATAGGATAGTCAAAGGCACTAGGCTTCGAAGATTAACTCCCAATGACGACAAAGATGACTTCAAAGTCCAATTCTCGAAGTACATCATGATATTCTCCAAAAGGCACAAGTTCGAAGAGAGCATGGCGCCTTTTGCTTCGAGGGCTCATGGACCTTCTTGGTTCACTATGGCTCTCTCAGAAGCTATCAAGAGCAAGGAGATTCAGGATGTATGGAGAGCTTTTTTGCTACCTAGACTCATTTCTTCAAGAATAACTCCAGCCAAGAACCAGATTTTTCTTTTTGCCTACCAACCAAACTTTGTTTCGAGGCAGTTTGGCTTATGCCAACTGATTCCTGAACCGTTATTTCAAACTGAGAGTGCCATCACTTATGGACGAACTTTCAAGGCACGGGAAGCCAAAATACAGCAAGAACAATATCAAGGCTTTGCCCAATTTGAGCTGATAACCTTCGAACCTACCCATCTCACAGCTAAAGGGTTCCTGGAATGGTGGACCAAGTTTTATCAAACTTATATGTTCGATACACTTACAATTCAACAGAAACTAATTGATGCCTTCGATGTGTAGGTACCAACAAAGAAAGGTATGTTTACTCATGCCAAAGAGATTAAAGCTTTCCAAAATTATTTTGAAACTACTTATGACCCCACGCGCTTGGACTCCACTGTGCATCAAGCGGCTGAGACCTTGAAGGAAAAATTTAAACAAAAAGTTTCTAAGTTAAAACTTCCTTCAGGGCTGTCACCTGAGGATAGGTATAGGTTGGCATTCGAAATGCATCCACCTAAATTTCCCAGATTACCTACCTCAGAACTGGCTCTGGCTTGGTTTGCCCCATATCCTTGGTGGTTTACTTGCAAAGAGATGTTCAAATATCTTCAAAGGAAACCAAAGCCATCTGAGACTGTGACATGGGCTCGACACTGGCTTCATGATTTCCCAGGACACCTTCGATACGACCTTTCTGCCATGTCAATTAAATCTGATCAAGGCACAGGTGCGAATGCTTGGGAAAATCCCAAACGTCTTTTATTTTCCATATCTTTAACCTTTGCTTTAATTGTTTCGATTTTCAGCCATCAGGATAAAGACAGCTGCCTCGAAGTCAAAAGAAGGGAGTGCCTCTCAGGCCTCCATCGAAACTACTGACAAAGTGACTCCACCCGAAACAACCACTATTGCTGCAACCACAACAACAACAATAATACCAACAACAACCAGTGTTCCAATTCCAACGGTAATCACTTAGCCTTGATGTTTCGAATTCACTCGTGTTTTATGGTTTGCATCTAACTCTTCGTTTAAATCCTTTCAGACCAACAAGCTTCCTCCTACTACTCCCAAGAAGCGAAAATTAAGCACCACTGGGGAAGATCCCAAGTCTGGAGGAAACTTAAACACTGCTTCGAAGAAGAAGCCAAAGAAAAATATTTCAAAAAGTACCGTTCCAACTAGTGTCTCTGGACTTGATTCCAGGGATGCTGCTCCCTCACCCAAATCCAAAAATCCACCTTCGACCTCCAACACAACGTTGGAACGTATAGCTAGTAACCTCTCCTCCGAGAGTCCACAG